ACAAGGTCTCCTAGAATACATTTTAGCCCCTTTGCATGATGGAATAATAGCAATTGTTTGTTTGTGGAGACTCTTCTGGGCCTGGCTCTTATGAGGCACTTTGCTTTTGGTTTAATCCTCACTGGATCACTGCAGTCATAGGTGTGGTTATCCCAGATTTATAAGAAGTAAACCTCCCGCCCCTTAAGAACTGGTGTGTGTTTCAGTTAAAATTCTCCTGGGAGCAAGTAACAGAAAGCAACTTAACCAAGGTCATGCAAAAAAGGGAGAAGTGAAAATAAAGATCCAGAGATACAGGGCCGGGTGTTCCGTGGAAGCTGGGGGCCAAAATCGTCCAGCTCTATTTAGGGATCTGAAACTGGAAAGGCAGGAGGAACCCAGGGAACTTCTTTCTTGGTGCCCGCATGCTCCCTCATCCCTTGTCTCTGCCTCACCATATGTTTCTGCTTCATTTTTTTCTCTCTCGTCCTTCTGTCCGTCCATCCATCCATCCATCCCTCCAGCTATGCTTTCAGGACTCTGTTTCACAAGGCATTTCCCATGGTCTCACCACAAAGATAGCCTCAGCTTCCTAATTCATGTTTCCTCACTCCCTGCACCCTGCACAGCCTAAATCAAAACCTCTCCATCTCAGTTCCAATTTTCTGGGAAAGGGACCGGGAAGAGAGTGGCCAGCATGGTCCCCACTAGCTGTTTGCAGGATGTCCAGCATTTCCCCATGTGACTACGCCAGGGCAGTTCTCTGAGAAAGTGATTAGTGAGCTGAACAGACACCCCTAAAGGTGCCCACCACAGTGACCCTGAAGGACATCCCCCCTGGTTCCTCTGCAGTCACTCTCCCTAGGTGACATCACCTTGTTGCAGGTCTCACCTTGGTGTGTCACTTTCATCAACCCAAGCCTTTTGTCTCAAACTTTTCTTGATGCAATTGCTCATCAGTTTTAATTCTTAAAGAACAATCTTTCTGAGGGGCTTTAGGGCATGCACACTGCTTGTACCTAGAGCCCCTATCAGTACAGGGGATATTTTTTATCCCCCTTGACCTGGAGAAGTAGCAGGTCTGAGCTGATGGCCAGGACTGACTTGGCCCAGGCTACAGTGGGTTAATGCAGTGAGGCAGGGGATGACAGGAATTCTATTATTAACCAGGCAGCAGCTCCTTGGCCTCCTGTAATCCACACTGAGGCCTGGGACAAAGGGATTTCTGAGTTGCTTTTATTCCCCCAGGTGTCCCTCACTCGTGTTAATGACTTGCAATTGTGGTTGGTTGAATGGGGGGCAAAGGAGGAGCAAGGGACAGACAAAGGGCTGGGCCTCTTGGCTTTAGAACTGAGGTTAAACCGGTCTGGTCTCTGGGACCTGGGGTTTCTTACTATGCAGGTTGGGGCAAAATTTACCTTAGCAGAGCCAGAGGCCTCAGGGAAAGCTCTGCAGGTATCCAGACTCAGTTTCTAGGAAACTGGACTTCAGAAAAGCTGGAGTGGCTATCTACACAGGCTTAAACACAGAAACCGTCATCTTTGTAATCTCTGCCTCAGCTGGGATCTGGAACCTCTTCCCTGCCCCATTATGCAATGCCTCCCTCAACTCAGGGGTCCCAACAGATGCTTCCTCGCCTTGCTTTACAGTTGAGTTTGTGAAGCATAACTTAGCGTTCCTCAGGTAATCGGGGAGACTCGTTCTTCAACACACAGACAGAGTGGAGTTGTGGGTAGGAGATTGTCTTCTACCTCCTGTCAGAACTTCAAATACACGTCTCTGCTTTGTAAGGGGCACTCGCGAAATACGGAAGATTTCCTTCAGGTTGCTGGAATTCATTCCATAGCAGGAGCATTTAGCCGACTGATTTGTTTTTGTCGCGGATATTGTTTTAGCGCATGTGGCCTGTCCAACACTCACGGGAGTCTTTTTCAAGCCGAGCCCTGTCTCTGCCACCTGTGGAGCCCTGGGACCCAAACCAGAGGTGATTGTACCTCATTTGGGATGTTATCCCCACAAGCCTGATGGGGCCTGGTTACTTCAGGCCTCCGAGAGGCCACGGATAGGGTGAAGAGAGGGGCTGTAAAGAGAGGGTCTCCTCTCAGCAAAAACATCTGGCAAGTTGATGAACCCGTTTTTATCTCCCTTGTGATATTAATTTAGGTCTTTGATAGCATGGACCATTACTTTGTGTTAAGTCATTATTTTATCTGGCTGGCTTGTTTCCCCTTCCTGCTTGCTTCAAGAGTTGTGTGTAGCCTGGGGGGTGAGCGTTGTTCTAGGTGGTGCCAGATAGGAGGCTCGAAGTGCAAGTCTGAATGGAAAGAAACCCCTGGTTTCTCAGTTCTAAGGCTTATGACTTGGCCGCACATCACAGGTGGCTGTGCCCCTCTGGCCCTCCTGCAGTTTCTGAGAAGCTCCCTCCAGCGCTGGGCCAAGAAACAGATGAAAGGGTGAGACAAGAAGGCAATATCTCCTCCCCCAGATTTGGAATTCAGCCCATGCCCTGGCTTTTCAGGCTTGAGACATGAGACTGATTTGGGGGGAACTAGAAATGGATGAAACTGCCCTTACAGTGCCTTCATCTCTTTGATGCCTACTGCCCTAGAGACTCTTGCCAGGTACACTGACGTCCAGCAGCCTAAGGAATAGCCACTTACCTACTGACCCAGTTGCCGCCATCAGGTATTTCGAGCTCTTGTAATTCATGTGACTGCCAGTTCCAGCCATGAGGAAGGCGAACGGGCCGGTTAACAAAAATGTGTAAGGCTGATCAGCTTGTTGAGGGGTGGTTTGGGTGGCTTTACCACCTGAGTCTTCGTCAGGTTCCCCTTGGCCACCCCCTCCAAATGAACACAGCATCGGCGTCACACCTGCCCGAGCAGATGCAGCTCTTAGACGAGTCTCGGTTCCATGCTTACCCTCCATCCCACTCCACCACTGACCTGCTCTTTCCATGAGAGTCCTTCCCATAGAGAAGAGAAAGAACACTGTTGCTCATCAGAGCTCGTCCCTCCCACATCGGCTGCTCCGCTCGCCCATCACACCCAGATGAAGGCCATCGGCTCAGTCCGATGGCTTACTGTGTTGAGCTTTCAGTTGGCTTAGATCAGCCAATGTGAAGAGTTGTTTTGTTAGTGTTTGGTTTTTGTTTTCATGTGTGTGAATTTTGCCGTTCTATTTTTACTCTTACATTCATGCTTCTCATGAACAGAGAGAAGTTTCATAGAGCCAGGGGATGAGAGAAGTTTCATAGAGCCAGGGGATTTTTTTCCCTTCGAATTAAGGTCTTACTGAAAATCAGGAATAGAGAGGTCATGAGTTCTGTTTTCTGACTGGGAAGACCTGATGAAACCAGAGGTGACTCGGAGCATGAGCGAGAGCACACACGCCCTCTGTCCACTGCTTGGCTGTGGACATGTGGTAACACCGAGCAAAACAGGAGGGCTTAAAACCACAAGGAGAGATGAGTTCTGAGTACATGTCCTTTGTGAATTGGCAAATACCAATTTCCTTACCAAATGACCTCCCACCCTCCTACCCCTAAAAGGATGATGGCTGGCCCTGTGGGGTGATCCTGTAGGCCTTAGCTTGCATGTCCCTTGCTCGGAGAGACCTCCACGGACCCCCAGGCAGATGACCAGATGTCCCTGCTTCCTCCACTTGTCCTTCACAGGATTTACCGGAATTTGTATATTTACCTGTGTATATAGCTCCTTGTTGTGTTTTTTTGTTTGTTTGTTTTCGTTTTTGTTTTTTTTAAAGTAACGTGTGTCTCCCACACCAGACTATGTGGGTAGAGGTCATATCTGTTTTATGCCCTTTCTACTCTCTGTTTGATCCCCAGCACCTCATTTGGCACCAGGCTAGCCGTGGACTTCATAAATGTTAGTGGAGGGAGTCAGGAAATCCATTGATCTTAGGGGTTCCTGAAGCATAGCACTTTATACTGTCCATCTGGGAGACGTCGCTTTCTCATGGAAACTTCGCATTTCTTTTATTAAAGTCTTAATAAAAGCACTTTGTTCACACCACTTGCTCAGTACTTAGCGCACTGCATGAGGAATCTTAAGAGCCCATTTCTCTCTCTTTTTTAAAATTTTATTTATTTATTTGTTTGAGAGAGAGCGAAAGTGTGTGTGTGAGAGAGAGAGAGAGATGAGAGCTCGTGAACAGGGGGAGGGGTAGAGGGAGAAGCAGATTCCCTGCTGAGCAGGGAGCCGATGTTGGATTCCATCCAGGACACCAGGATCGTGACCTGAGCTGAAGGCAGACACAGACTGAGCCACCCAGGCGCCCTTAAGAGCCCATTTCACCTGCAGGGTTGAGCGCTCCTTCCAAGTGGAGACAGCATCGCGCTAGTCTGCACATTTCCACTCCTGACTCAGGAATTTTCTGTTGGGCTGAATGGAATTTCTAATGTTGAGGGCACTCTGAGGAGGCTGTCATTAGACTGCTGTTGGGCAGACTTGTCTAAAATGTTTTCCTTTCTCTGTGAGTGTTCTCTGCCCACGTGTGAGGACCTGTTAGATGTCCCTTGCATTCTGTGAACATGCTTAACCCTGCATGTTCCAGAGGAAAGGCATGTACCTTTCCATTTATGTTGCTCTCCTCCGCTTTCCCAAACCCAATGATTCAGCTAGGGATTGCATCATCGTTATCACTTTACTCATGGTGAACGTCCAAAAAAAAATGAAGCTTGAGGTTACACCGTGTTTCAGGTGCAGAGCTATAGTGAGAACCAGAGGTTTCTGAAGCTTTCCTACTTTTTATTTAACACAGAGATCAAGGCTGTGTGGAATTACTTAGAGGAGATCCAGGTGTTACTCCCCCACCCCACCCCCTATCCCAGGGATCTAATCCCACAGCCCTCATGTCTTGCCCTGTCCCCGCCAGAATGTTTCACTCAGAACTCCACTTGATGACCTTTTCTGCCCGTGCCACAGCCCAAAGTAACCTGTTGGCCCAACTCTAGGCTAATGGCCACACCACGCTGGATCCTCTCTTGTGTTTCTATGCAGGATCGTCTGTTTTTTGTGATGGAGTTTGTGAATGGGGGTGACTTGATGTTTCATATTCAGAAGTCTCGTCGTTTTGAAGAAGCACGAGCTCGTTTCTATGCAGCAGAAATCATTTCGGCACTCATGTTCCTACACGAGAAAGGAATCATCTATAGGTGAGTTTTGGTCTCCTGATTCATTCCCTGTTTGCCCTCCTGGCTTCACCTTTCATTCTTCCTGGTAATCAACTGAAATCTTTTTAGAATTAAATTCACAAAGGTGTGAGTGTCCATTAGAATAAATGAATAATGTAGTGTTCCCCATTACCTGCAAATCGGAATTGCCCCTGTGTGATCTGCATAAAACTGGCTTGAGCGGCTCCATGGAGACTGTTCATGAATTCAGACAGCCAGACCCTACAGGGTGCTGAACCCATTGTTGCTCTTTTTTCTGTTTTCACATTGGAAGTGATCCATTCCATTTTAAGAATCCGTACTTACACCGAAGAGCGTGGCTATCTGTTGCCCTAAATTACCGTGATAAGATCTCGGTCAGTTGGAGTTACAGCTCACCAGTCAAGGAGCTAAGTGGCAAACTGTTGATGAGCAGTGTCCTGCTTGATAATATTTATCGTTTGTAGCCCCTCCTGAATATTATTTGATTTCATTTCATGGCACACAGTCTTTTGAGTATAATAGACATTTGGGGCTTAAAATCTGGTTGCCATTGTTAGATCTCAGAATGCAAGGGATATGGATGGGTGAAACTTTATTCAGATGGAAGATTAGGTAAGGTGGGGAATGTAACAGTGAGTGTTAGACAATGTTTATTCTTAACTTTTCATTTTTGTCCCTGAAGTCAGTGTTTTGCTTTTAATTTTTTTTTTTTTAAGATTTTATTTATTTGCGAGAGAGAGAGTGAGAGACAGAGAGCATGAGAGGGAGGAGGGTCAGAGGGAGAAGCAGACTCCCTGCTGAGCAGGGAGCCCGATGTGGGACTCGATCCCGGGACTCCAGGA